GGTTTATGACGCTTTTTACTCAAAATGGCCCGAATATGGCCTATATGACCTTACTTTGCCCATTTCCTACATTTCTTATTAAATGAACTTTATTTATTTCATAACATGTCAATATTATCTAGTTATATGTGTATAAGGAAAGAAATTACATCAAAAGAGCATATTAACACAAAATGGCCCTAACATGGCCCATATGACTTCTATTCAGCCCATTTTCTACCTTTCTTGTGAAATAGCTTTTTTGTTTCTCATAACATGCCATTGTTGGGTAATATTAGGTGTCTAAGGCGTAAAATCACATCAATATAGCATTTCAATAAGTTTTAGGACTTACCTCATCAAGCTGTTGAGTGTCCGTACAATGAGTCACAATGTCAAGCATGAATCTCATCACATACAAAGCACAATCAAGTCCATTCTCTTGTTGTGCGCACTAGCATATGACAAACAAATCACATCAGTGAAACATGCAAAGGAAATGAGCAAATATTTACTACCATAGATTTTCAAGATAATCACAATATCATGTAAATTACCAACGGTGTCTTCCATGTTGGACCCTTTGGAGCACGACAATGTAGCTTCTTCATAACACTGTAGTATAAAAAAGTACATTCAAATTTGATTATTCGTATGATTACTAAATTAGTTATTATTAGAAATAATCATCACTAGGTTGCTATATATATTTACTTTTGCAATATAGACTTCACGAGCCACTTCTCCGATGATCGAGCTGAATCAAGGTGATAAATTGTGTTAGTGGAATTACAAATCACCATGAGGCTCCAATGCTCCCTACATAAGTTCACAATAGACAAGGTAATTAATATTTAAGAGTCAACATATAATGAGGCCAAATCGATTGAATTTGACATGGTTAGACTTACTCTCTATAACATGGGGCGAATATGAACTTGTCTCCCGCACGCGCTGATTCCCTTATACTCTATTCAACATAGTACAACACGTCACGGGGGTTGCCTATGATTTTAGTAGTGGATAACTGCTCGGGGCATAACCACCCAACTTTACAAGGAGAATTAGTGTCAGTTAAGTGCTCCTGTAGTGCTCTGCGTGCATGAACATTGAATAATTTATCAGATGTAGGATAATCACCATCAATTTGAATAACTTGAAAAAAGTATAGATTATGTGGGCATTGAAGTACCTCATGAATGTTTGAATGAGGGAAATGTTAAGCTTTGCACCACGTAGAAATTCCTTCACATCTTCTTTGCTGATCCATGCAATTGCATCCTCATCATAGTGGAACATTGCCTTAGGAAGTGCAACTTCCATGGGATCGACCAAATGACAAGCACGGTTGTGAAGAAAGGTCATGTCAATAGAGAGCGATTGAAGAACAATGTCTTCAACAAGTGGAGTAGGTGGCATGGGTGAACCTTTCGAAGAGTGCAACTTCGACGCTTGTTCACTCTTGGACCGTTGTTCACTTAGCTTCTTCTTAGGTTGATCAATTCTTTTAGGCTTCTCCACCCTCTTTCTCTTTGAAGTTTTGCTTCCATTGGAAATCTGAAATAGTTTGAGAAATAATAAGTTTCAACTCACAATCACTTATACATATGTAATTATGATATGGTTTGAGAATGTATAAGTTTAGTAGTTGAGAAATGAAGAAAATAGCCAAGTGAGTAGCCATTTCGGCTCAAAATGGCTTTATTTTGATGAATTGGACCCAAAAACTAAGAACTTGGCGATTTTTATGTAATTTCAAATGACAAACACTTATAAATATGTGATTATGAGTTGTTTTAAGATGCAAAGATTTTATAATTTGAGAAATGAAGAAAATAGTCAAGTGAGTAGCCATTTCGGCTCAAAATGGCTTTATTTTGAAGAATTGGACCCAAAAACCTAGAACTTGGCGATTTTTATGTAATTTCAAATGACAAACACTTATAAATATGTGATTATGAGTTGTTTTGATATGCAAGGAGTTTATAAGTTGAGAAATGAATAAAATAGTCAAGTGAGTAGCCATTTCGGCTCAAAATGGCTTTATTTTGATGAATTGGACCCAAAAACCTAGAACTTGGCGATTTTTATGTAATTTCAAATGAAAAACACTTATAAATATGTGATTATGAGTTATTTTGAGATTCAAGGAGTTTATAAGTTGAGAAATGAAGAAAATAATCAAGTGAGTAGCCATTTCGGCTTAAAATGGCTTTATTTTGATGAATTTGACCCAAAAACTTAGAACTTGGCGAATTTTATGTAATTTCAAATGAAAAACACTTATAAATATGTGATTATGAGTTGTTTTGGGATGCAAGGAGTTTATAAGTTGAGAAATGAAGAAAATAGTCAAGTGAGTAGCCATTTCGGCTCAAAATGGCTTTATTTTGATGAATTGGACCCAAAAACCTAGAACTTAGCAATATTTATGGAATTTAAAATGATAAACACTTATAAATATGTGATTATGATTTTTTTTAATATGCAAGGAGTTTATAAGTTGAGAAATGAAGAAAATAGTCAAGTGAGTAGCCATTTCGGCTCAAAATCGCTTTATTTTGATGAATTGGACCCAAAAAACTTAGAACTTGGCGATTTTTATGTAATTTAAAATGATAAAAACTTATAAATATGTGATTATGAGTTGTTTTGAGATGCAAGGACTTTATAAGTTGAGAAATGAAGAAAATAGTCAAGTGAGTAGCCATTTCGGCTCAAAATGGCTTTGATGAATTGGACCCAAAAATCTAGAACTTGGCGATTTTTATGTAATTTCAAATGACAAACACTTATAAATATGTGATTATGAGTTTTTTTGAGATGCAAGGAGTTTATAAGTTGAGAAATGAAGAAAATAGGCAAGTGAGTAGCCATTTCGGCTCAAAGTGGCTTTAGTTTGATGAATTGGACCCAAAACCTTAGAACTTGGCGATTTTTATGTAATATCAATTGACAAACACTTATAAATATGTGATTATGAGTTTTTTTGAGATTCAAGGACTTTATAAGTTTAGAAGTGAAGAAAATAGTCAAGTGAGTAGCCATTTCGGCTCAAAATGGCTTTATTTTGATGAATTAGACCCAAAAACTTAGAACTTGGCGATTTTTATGTAATTTAAAATAACAAACACTTATAAATATGTGATTATGAGTTGTTTTAAGATGCAAGGAGTTTATAAGTTGAGAAATGAAGAAAATAGCCAAGTGAGTAGCCATTTCGGCTCAAAATGGTTTTATTTTGATGAATTGGACCCAAAAACTTAGAACTTGGCGATTTTTATGTAATTTAAAATGACAAACACTTATAAATATGTGATTATGAGTTGTTTTGAGATGCAAGGAGTTTATAAGTTGAGAAATGAAAAAAATAGCCAAGTGAGTAGCCATTTCGGCTCAAAATGGCTTTATTTTGATGAATTGGACCCAAAAATTTAGAACTTGGCGATTTTTATGTAATTTCAAATGACAAACACTTATAAATATGTGATTATGAGTTTTTTTGAGATACAAGGAGTTTATAAGTTGAGAAATGAAGAAAATAGGCCGTAAGTAGCCATTTCGGCTCAAAATGGCTTTATTTTGATGAAATGATGAAAATTGCTTAATTTTTTTTTTAAAAATGCAACGGCAGCCGCACTGGGACACCCGAGGGAGTCGCCCTCGCTGCCGGAATAGCGAAGGCAGCCCGTTCCGAGGCCACAGCAGCCCCGACAGGTGGCTGCCAAGGCTGTAGTAGCCACGGCAGGTGGCTGCCAGACTGCTGCAGCCTCGGCAAGTGCTGCCTGTGCTGCTACAGCCATGGCAGCCGCCTGTCGAGGCAGCAGCAGCCCAGGCAGGCGGCTGCCAAGGCTGCAGCAGACTGGCAGCCACCTGCCGTGGCTGCTACAGCCTTGGCAGCCACCTGTCGGGGCTGCTGTGGCCTCGGCACGGGCTGCCTTCGCTGTTCCGGCAGCGGGGGCGGCTCCCTCGGGTGTCCCGGTGCGGCGGAAGTTGCTTATTTTAAAAAAAAAAAAAATTAAACTAGGCGATTTTTATGTAATTTCAAATGACAAACACTTATAAATATGTGATTATGAGTTTTTTTGAGATGCAATGAGTTTATAAGGTTAGAAATGAAGAAAATAGGCAAGTAAGTAGCCATTTCGGCTCGAGTTGGGTTTATTTTGATGAAATGCGCCAAAAACAGTAGAAGTTTGCTTCTTTTATGCAATTTCATGTCACAAACACTTATACATATGCAATTATGATATGGTTTGAGAATGTATAAGTATATTAGTTGAGAAATGAAGAAAATGGGCAAGTGAGTAGCCATTTCGGCTCAAAGTGGCTTTATTTTGATGAATTGGACCCAAAACCTTAGAACTTAGCGATTTTAATGTAATTTCAAATGACAAACACTTATAAATATTGTGATTATGAGTTGTTTTGAGATGCAAGGAGTTTATAAGTTGAGAAATGAAGAAAATAGGCAAGTAAGTAGCCATTTCGGCTCGAATTGGCTTTATTTTGATGAAATGTGCCAAAAACATTAAAAGTTTGCTTCTTTTATGCAATTTCATGTCACAATCACTTATACATATGTAATTATGATATGGTTTAAGAATGTATGACTTTATTAGTTGAGAAATGAAGAAAATAGGCAAGTGAGTAGCCATTTCGGCTCAAAGTGGCTTTAGTTTGATGAATTGGACCCAAAACCTTAGAACTTAGCGATTTTAATGAAATTTCAAATGACAAACACTTATAAATATGTGATTATGAGTTGTTTTGAGATGCAAGGAGTTTATAAGTTGAGAAATGAAGAAAATAGACAAGTAAGTAAATAATTTACCTCCTTATTAATCAACTTCACCCATGCACGTGACCAATCAACGAAGCTACCTACAGCTTGCCAAAGCGTTGTTATCTCAACCTCCTCTATCGGTACGGGTAGTGGGATGTCTTCGAACCCCGCAACCACTGAATCGATCCCAACCGAGTAATGATGTGGCCCCGCCGTAGCACCCGTCGTCGGTTAGGCACTACCATACGCCACCAAACTCAACACGGTACTATTTGCATGCCCCGGGGCTAGAAGTGCACACCGGGTGTCTTCCTACACAAGTATATATATAAAAAGAAGATAGTTAAATAGGACTTTTACAACAACATAGATATAGAAAAATTCATTAAGGTAGAGGGTTACAAATCACCTGTAACTCTGGAAATTCATGCGGTGTTGGATTTTCAAGCTCCCTCGAGTCCGCATGTGTAGGAGTAGGAACCTGCAACAGTACATCAATCATTGCACCTCAAATCTCAATTAACTCGGTATTTTAAAACTTTTAATAATCCAATTGATTTTACCTCAGGTGGCACATCTTCACCACGTATCTCATCTCCTCCATGTCTATCACCTTCTCCTTGTCCTTGCAAAACATGAGTCGACCGGGGTACTAGTGAGGAACGACAAAGTCGGTAAGTTCATCAGCTTCGCCCAAGCATTCAATTCACCAACTAACTCGTTGCGTACTTGTTCCTTAATTGATGCCACCTTGGCATCCAACTCCCCCGGTGAGTTAACATTGGCTCGAGATCTACCCGATTTTGTGTATTCGGGACCCATCACCTTATTCCATCCAAGCAATGACCCTCCCGAACCTACTACTCGTCCTGGATGGTATGGCCTTCCTAAAGCCATGGTGAAAGGGTCATTCTCCATACTTGGTTCAAATTTGCCCTCCACCATCTCTTGAGTGTGCTCAAGCTATAACATAAGGAAAAATGAGGTCAGTAAAACAGTTAATGGTTTTTACAGTGATTAGATGCAAAAGTGACTTAATTTCAACAATTCATAGGTAACTTACTAGCTTATCCGCCAATGTTTTGGCTTCCGAACCCTTGATGAACCATTTTCCGGTTTTCTTATCAAACGAATGGAGAGAACAAAAGAAATCACCGGCACGACTCACCAATGTAGTGATCGTGGAACTAGAGGGTTCCTTCGATGCCACTAGAAGCCCTTTAGGGTATAAACCCGAAGCGGCCCACTCAGGGTCTCTTTTCAGCAAAAGTCTTAGGACCCATACGATGGACGTATTCCTTCTTTTCTGCATTCGCTTGATTTTGCTCTCGAAGTTCCTACAAAACAAAAAATGTTAGTCTCATTAATACAAAAAGTGTCAAGCTATTATTCAATTAAGATCAGATTTACACAAACTTACAATGGCTTTCTTTTGAGTCTTCATTCTAACGAACTCTTCCCAATCATCTTTTGACATGGTCGGCCATATTTTCCACGGGAGACGGTCATCCTCTTTGGCATTCTTCTTCTTTGTTTGCACCTTCTTCTTCTTATGGATCCACCGATTAGTCAACTTGGTCTTAAAGCCTCTAAATCTTTCCCCTAATAAAGAGACAAACACCCTTTTCTTCTCGGGATCATTAGGAATAGAAAACTGCCTCTGCAAGCATAAATTAAAACCGATTATTAGTTACTATTTAGTAACAACCATAAGGTTAAGGTATCTTAAATTGTCTAAATGTGCCAAAAACACACTTACCCTTGTATCATCCCAAAATGCTTGAATCAAACCCGGAGGTACTTGCCGCATTACAAGTGTAATGGGGATTTTCCGCGAACATAAGCCAACTTGATTAGCATATTGTCGACGCCATTTTGGGCCCGGGTTGGCCTTTGTTGTCATACTCCAAGACCATGGGACCGTCCAGTTTCTTAAAGCTTCTCGTCGGACCCCTTGTTTTTCTTTCAGCCGGTGCCTTTCCCCCCCCCCCCTCCACCACATGTGTTGTTTTCATCTTGTCCTTGGCCTTGACTTTCAGGAGTCGAGTTCTCACCAACAATCTTACATGCTGTATTTACAATGGCCGGTGCACGTTCAGCTGCAATTTCAAAATCGTCAAGCCTACGCTCGAACTCATCTTGAGCCTGATCCTCTGGCTCACCCAAGTCATCCTCCTTATTCACATCATAAGGCACATCACTATCATCGGATTCGTCATCCTCGTACTCGTCCTCATACTCATCATCGTCAATGTCCTCTACCAAAGGAGGATCATGATCGTCCGCCATGAGATATAAGCACTTGTCAAAGCAATCATAAAACACTATTAGTGTATAGTAAAGTATATGCATGATAGTTATTATGGTTATGTAGAAGCTATTTTAGCCATTTTCAACTACTTATTATGGTCCTATAACCTTGTATATGCATGATAATGAGTACAAAATGCCAATTTCAATCTACATATGGAAAATAGGTTGTTAGGATGAATAAATGTTAGTTCATACACAAAACAAAGGAGTTGGGTTAAGTAGAAGCTATTTATGCCAGTTTCACCTACTTATGGTCCTATAACCTTGTATATGCATGATAATGAGTACACTTAGGCAATTTCAAACTAAAAATATATCATTTTCGCCTACTTATGCTCCTATATACATGATAACTAAACTATATTTGCAATGAAACCATTAATAACTTTTAATCAAACTACCTCATTCTGAAATTTCTGAAATTCCTTCGTTGTGGTCTGATCGCATATAACCTGCTTCGTTGTCTATGTCATTTAGTACAAAAGGTCTAGGAATAGTGAAAGGTGCTGAATCATCAAACGCATCATATTCTTCCTCATCCTCAACATCTCCAATGCCTAGGATTCTTCTTTTGCTAGCTAGCACTATAGACCATTTTGAATCCATTGGGTCAGTTATGTAGAACACTTGCTTAGCTTGAGATGCAAGGATAAATGGTTCCGCACTATCATTCGAGTGGCCAAGATCTACAAGAGTAAAGTCCTCATGTTTGACGTTACGCCTGATATTATCAACCCACTTACACTTGAAAAGAGCAACCGTGAAGTCACAATAATTAAGCTCCCATATTTCTTGAATTCGACCATAGTATGACAACTCTACATCGACATGTGATTTATCCTTAGAACTTGCAAACTCCCTTGACGATGCCACAAGAGTTACACCGCTGTTTTGGGTGGAGGAAGATTTCAAATCACGAGCCTCGGTCCAAAAAGTGTACCCATTGATGTCATATCCCTCAAATGAACGGACATCATCCCTAGGACCGTACGCAAGCCACCGTACTGTATCGGTCACATTAGTATCATTCAATCCACTCATTACTCGTTTACGAAACCAATCAACAAATTTCTTATTATGCAACTGCATAAGTGCCCTTTCACCTTTGGATGGAAATTCGGCACGCAAACAAGCCATGTGCTCGTCTAAATATGGGTGCACATCTGAAACATGGTGCAATACATAAAGGTGTGCTTGTAAGAACTGATCTCGGTCTGGTGACATCTGTTTCGACCCAATTGTGCCATGACCATCAAGTCTACCTTCATGTCGAGAAGTAGGAAGACCAATAGGTTGAGCAAGGGCTATGTAGTCTGCCACAAAGTTACCTATCTCCTCACCCACTGTCCCTTGCATTATACTTCTTTCAGGGTGAGCTCGGTTCCGTACTTTATCTTGTAATGTACCCATTTGTCTTTCAAAAGGATAGCACCACCTCATGAACACTGGACCGCACAACTTAATCTCACGCACCAAATGAAGAACTAGATGAACCATTATGTCAAAAAATGAGGGTGGGAAATACATCTCAAATTTGCACAAAGTCACAACCACATCTGCTTGCAAAGCATCTAGTGTACAAGGATCAAGAACTTTGCTACAAATTGTATTGAAAAATGAACAAAGGCTTGTAATCGCTTCCCTCACGTGTTTTGGTAGAATACCACGGATTGCAATCGGTAGGAATACTTGCATCATAATGTGACAATCATGGGATTTCATACTTGTCAACTTCGATTCTCCATTAAAGGTTACAAATCTTTTCATATTAGATGAGTACCCTGATGGAACCTTAATGTCGTACAAACATGCACAAAACATACGTTTCTCTACCCTTGACAATGTATAGCAAGCCGGGGGTAAATAATTCTTTTCATCCTTCCCTTTACCCTTAACTTTCTTCTTTGACGCATCTTTGGCCTTTCCTTTTCCCTTGCTCTTCTCCTTCCCTTTTTTCAAAACACTTTCATCTTCTATTCTCGGCTCCTTCCCCTTTCTAACCTTTTCTTGAGGCCACAATTCTGGACGAATCCCCATCTCTTTCAAATCTAACCGTGCACCCTTTGCGTCCTTTGTTTTGCCTGGGATATTCATAAGCGTCCCCAAAAGAGCATCACACACATTCTTCTCTATATGCATCACATCAAGACAATGCCTAACGTCATGTTCTCTCCAGTACGGCAGCATCCAAAAGATTGATTCTTTCTTAAACAGAGCAGCTGAGACAACAGTTTTTTCTGATTTTCCAAACACCGTTCGTATCCCTTTCACCCGAGCACTAATCTCAGCACCAGTCAATGGTCTAGGCGCATTATCCTCTTCCACGGTTCCATCGAATGCCTTTTTCTGCCTACGGTACGGGTGATCACGCCTAAGGAACCTTCGAGTCCGTAGGTAGACATCTTTGTGAGAATGAGTCAGGTATACGCTTGATGTGTCATCAATACATATGGGGCATGCTTTTTTCCCTTTGACCTTATACCCATTCAAGTTGCCATATGCAGGTAAGTCATTCATGGTCCACATAAGGGCTGCACGCAATGTGAACATCTTGTTCTGATGAGTATCAAAAACGGAAACCCCTTCGTCCCACATCTTTCTCAAGTCGTCAATAAGTGGCGCAAGGTAAACATCTATGTCGTTTCCAGGTTGCTTAGGACCAGTTATTAGCAATGAAAGCATTACATACTTACGTTTCATGCACAGCCAAGGAGGCAAATTATAAATCACTAAAAGTACCGGCCATGTGCTGTGTTGGGTACTAAGAGTGCCAAATGGATTCATCCCGTCCGTGCACAACCCAAGCCTTAAATTTCTGACTTCATTACCAAATTCCTCAAACTTCAAATCAATGTTCTTCCACTGTGGAGAGTCAGCTGGATGCTTCAGCATTCTGTTTTTCTTTCTTCCCTCTGCATGCCACCTCAAGTTTTTAGCGTCTTTTGGTATTGAGAACAGACGCTTAAACCTTGGAATAATGGGAAGATACCACAACACCTTAGCAGGAGGTCCCTCCGTGCCAGGATTGCAACTCATGCGCTTGTACCGCGACCGCTTGCATCGTGGACACTCCTGAAGTTTTTCATACTCATTTCGATACAAAATACAGTCATTAGGACATGCATGTATCTTCTTATACTCTAAACCAAAGGGACACATGAGCTTCTTTGCGTAATAATAAGACTTAGGAATTTCATTCCCATCAGGAAACATATCACTTAATGTGGTCAACAAAGAAGTAAAACTGATGTCCGTCCACCCATGCTTCGACTTAATGTTGAAAAGTGTT